CGATGCTGTAGGTGAGTGGGGAAGCACCGCGGGGGCCGGGGCTGCGCTGAGCTCAGCATTTCCCTCCTGATTTACCCCCGGGGCAGCTGAAAGCAGGATTTGCCCCCGTTTCCCTCACGTTCGGTGGGACACCGGTGTTGATGTCGGGGTTGGAGAAACTGGAATTGGGGCCGGGAGGGGTGAATTTGGCTCCACACCAGTGTGCTGGTGACAGGATCCGTCCCCGTGTTCTTGCTGAAGAGCTGAAGTAACACGCAGCTGCAACGGAAAGGCTGGAATCAACATGGGAAATGGGGAATTTGGGTGTACTTTGAAAAGCCACAGGGAAAAACGAGGGAGAGTTGACAGCAATTCTAGCCAGGGGCTGGAGCGAGGGCGGTGGGCACGGACGGCAGAGACGCTGCAGGATGTGCCACCTCCATGTTCCCCTTTGGCACAGCCAAACTCTGGGTCTCTCAGAGGAGGGGTGGGTGAGGAAGAGCCAAACAGCTGCTGAAGAGGCTCCATCTCCAGAGCCAAGCTGGGATGAGCCTCACCACGGAGCTCTGTCCTGCTGTGGGCACAGAGCCTTCCCTGAGGCCAGGCCAGGGTCACTGCCCTTGTCCCTGCTCTGCACCAGGAGCAGGGGGCAGTGCCAGCCCCACACTGGGGTGACCCTGGGCGGGTTTTGCTGCTCTCTGTGTGTGTCTCATGTTCATGGAACAGCAATGCCCGTCAGGTAGAGGGGCTGGGGCGGCTCAGCCCCTCCAGTGCAGCTCCCTGAGCCGAGCATCCCTCCTGTGCCAGAGGGTGAGCGTGGCTTTGCTGCATCCATGACCCTCCTGCAGCCCCGGGCAGGGAGAGGAAAACCTCCCCCTGAGCCTAAAACCAGGCTGGAGCCTTGGGAGCTGTGGCAAAGCTCCTACTGACTCCGGTAGTGTCCTTCACGCCGGCAGCTGGCACATGCCTGGCTCACCCTGCTCCCCCTCGGCTGGCACCGGCACTGGCACCGGCACTGGCACGAGGGGCTTGGCTGTGTCTGGCTCCCTGTGAAAAGGCAGCACAGGGAACTGAGTCAGGAGCCACATCCTGTGTCAAACCCCCCTGGGAGCAGCAGAAACTGCAGGGGAGGGCGGAAGCACTGGGACTGTGAAGCTCAGCCAAGCCCCCCCAGTAAGACCCTAACCCTAAACCCTAACCCTGAACCATCCTACACATCCCAAGGGTTGTGCCCAGCCACCCTTCCCTGGACTCCTGTTGCCTCCTCCTCCACCTCCATGGGGAAATTCCCCTTCCCAGGGCTGGGTCTTGCTCTGGACCCCCCGGCTGTGGTGCCCATCATTCCCAGCCGCTCCTGTCGGCATCCACGTCCCATCCAAGAGGTTTTCATTGGGGTTTTCTCCATCTCCTGATGCTGCTACAAATCCTGCAAGATATGGCACAGATGGGGAAAGATGCTCTGGATGCCGGGAGGGTGCTTGAGCTGCAGTTCCTGATGACAAATGAGGAAGGTTGGGGACAGGGATGGGGGTGCAGGCTCTGATTTGATCCATTACGGAAGCACTCAGGATGTTTTTCCAGTGGGATGCCAGGGATGACTCTGGATTAAGGTTTGCTCTCGGTAACAACAACAAGCCATGTGATATTTCATATACAACGAAGTTTTGGGCCCTGCCCACTTTGTGTTTCACAACAAATACCCCACAGCCATCTACGGCTTGGGATTTAATGGAAAGGGCTCCATGGAGGGAATTCACCACCTGGGAGACTCGGCTTGACTTTGAAAAGATGCATTTTGGAGCTCTCAGAATTGCAGGGAGAAGCACAGTGCCTGGGGGCACCCTGGGCACTCGGGGAGCAGCAGCCCAGCTCCGAGGGGGTTTGAGCAGCCCAGGTCCAGGGCAGTTGGGATTTTAAAGCAAAGCTGATCCCAGCCCAGGTCCAGGGGAGTTGGGATTTTAAAGCAAAGCTGATCCCAGCCCAGGTCCAGGGGAGTTGGGATTTTAAAACAAAGCTGATCCCAGCCCAGGTCCAGGGGAGTTGGGATTTCAAAACAAAGCTGATCCTGGCCCAGCCAAGGATCTGGATGGAGATCAGCCCAGCAACACTCCCAGCACGGGGCACCCGGGACCAGACCCCGCTCCTGCCCTCCAGCCCCCGGACCTGGCACCCGGTCGCTGTTTCCTCGCCGCGATCAACAACCAAGCGAGTTATTTCGGGGAGGAAAAGCCCGTTTTACGGTGCTGCCGGAGCCTGCCGGGGTCAGCCGCGTCTGAGCGCGCTCCCGAGGGCTGGGCTTGCGTGACTCCGCTTCCCCATCAAGGCCAGAATCTAAACAATCTTGATTCCTGTCCCGGCAGCCCTGGGCTGGGCTCTTCAATTGCAGGAAACGGAGCCTTTGGCGTGTTTATGTCGGGAGCCACGAAGAATGAGCCGAGGAGGGGCCGGCAGCCCGCGGCCGCGGAGCGGGGCGGGGGGCACTGGGGGGGCTCCGCCGTGTTTGCCTTGGCAGGAACGTCCCTTTTACAAGTCAAAAAAAAAAAAAAGAAATGGGAAGAGAAAAAATAGCCAAACTTCCCCCGAGGCACAGCAGGGAATTTTTGGCTGCCCCTGTTTGTGTCATTGATAAGCTCGGTGCAAAAGCCCCGCCGGGATCGAGCCCCGGACCGCGGCCAGCGGCGCTCGGAGGCTCCGGTGCACGTGGTGGGAGGCCTTTGAGCTCCATCCCAAGGCCTGGATCTTGCTGAACCTGGAATCTCCAGCGGCGCCGAGCCCGTGGGGGCCGTGGTTTTACGGAGCAGGAGCCGTGGGAACGGTGGGAAATGCCGGAATACGGATCGTTGGCACAAAGGAAGGATGTTGGGGCAGCGTGGGCAGGGCAGGGTCCCTGTCCCAGTGCCATCTGTGGTGTCCGGTGCCATGGTCGGGAGGTCCCCCAGGCTCGGGAGGTCCCGGGATGTGCTCTCAGGAAGGGCTGTACCCAGGATGTCCGGAGCCAAACTCCATTGGAAGCAGCACATCCCACCTCGCTCCGCCCGCCCTCTCCCTCTCCAGGTCCCCCCTCTTCCTTCCCAAAGCCCCCCAGGGCTGGTGATGAGCCCCTCGGGGGCGCAGGGGCTGCTCTCACCGCTCCGTTCTCCGCAGGACGATGCCGTGTGGAGCCGGTGGCCGCGCGGTGCTGGCGCTGATGACTCTGTCCCTCGGCCTCGCAGCCGGTGAGTACCAACGGGAGGGGACGAGCGGCGGGTTAAAACAAACCCTCGGCTTTTTGGGAGCGTCTCCGCCCAGAATAACCTCCTGCAGAGGGAGCCGGGGCTCCTCGGGGACGGCGCCGTCCCCAGCGAGGGGCTGTGTCCCTGTGGGACGGTGACCCACTCCCCAGGGAGGATCTCGGCTGAATTAATTAATTGTGGTTGATCAAGTGCTTTGCCGTCACCGGAGGGGAGACGGGGAAGGCTGGCGCCACGTGCTTTAGAGAGTGCTCCTTCCCAGGGGTGATGATGATGATGGTTGTGGGGAGGAGCTGCTCAGCATCCCAGGGGAGCACCGGGTGACCTGGGGGCGGATCCAGCTGCCCGTGTTTGTGCGGGGGGGACAGGGGCAGTGTGGCTGTGCTGGGGAGGAGCAGCAGAGCTCACTGAGGGGACAAATCCCCACCGAGTCCCCGTCCTACCCACGGGGCCACCAACCCCAACCTGGCCTTGCCACCACCCCACAGCACTGAGCAGCCTTTGGGGCAGGGGGATGACAGGCACGGGAGGGGGACTGGCCACTGCCAGACATCCCCTCGCCGTCCCCTCGCCGCTGGCCGCCTGGCTGCCCTCACACTGAACTCGCTGATTCCAGGAGGGATATTTTCTGCGCGAAAGGGCAGAGCTAAATCGGGAGTTCGGGACTGTGGCGCCCTCTGAGCTGCTCCAGCACCACAGCACAGGGAAATGCCTTCGGGGAAGTCAGGAAAAGCTCCAGGAAAGACGCCGGGTTTGGCACCCAGCTCCCGAAACACCCTCTGGGAAGGCACTGGCTGAGTTTGGGGCTTTTGATCCCATCCTGGCTCCCAGCATCCGGCTCCCACGGCTCCCACGTCCTCTGGGACCCCACGGGCAGGATGTGAACCAGTGCATCCCAGTTAATCCCAGCTGCTGGGGCTGGATGCACACCCCACCCAGTGCCTGTCAGGGGTGTGGGGACAGGTGACCCCCAGGTTCAGGGCTGGCACTTGGACTGTAGCTTTTCCAGGAGCTGTCAGGACGGGCTCCCTGTACTGAGCACTCACAGACACATTCCCCTTCTGGACCGTGATGGTCCCAGGCTGCCCACTCTCAAAATTTGGTTCAGGAGTCCCTAGGACAATGTCCCTGTCACCAAAGCCAGCAGCCACCCCATCCAGGGTGGTCCCGTGGCACAACGTGCCCCCTCCTCGTGCCCGCAGACGAGCTGCTGTGCGCCTGCGACGTGCCCTTCTGCAGCCAGCCCACCTGCACGGGCAAGGTGTGCTTCGTCAGCAAGAGGAGGGAGGAGGGGACCATCACCCAGCACCGGGGCTGCTTCTCCCAGAACATCCTGGAGCACTGCAACACGCCCGTGACGGAGCAGTACGGCATGAGGTGCTGCGAGTCCCGCATGTGCAACGCCGAGCTGGAGATCTTCCTGCAAGGTACAGGGCGAGGGGCAGAGCTGCCCACGCAGCTGGACACGTGGTTGGGTCTGCAGATCGTCCCTGTCCTCACTCAGCCCCTCCAGAGTCACCTTTTCCCAGGTGGGCAGGGCCAGCGAGGTGCCCTCAGGTGTCCCTTATTGGGCTGTGCCCGCAGAGCTGCCATCCATGGGGTTGAACCCAGTGCAGAGCCACCCTCTCCAGGTCCAAGCCCAAACCCCGAGGCCTCCACCCTCCCACCTCCAAGCCTGAGCCCCAAGACCTTCATTATCACGCTCCCATCTACCATTTCCCCCACCCAGGAGAAGATGCCCTGGGAAAAGTGCCTTCCCTGCCCAACCTCCTCCTGATGATCTTCGTCCCGCTGCTCGCCCTCCTCGTCCTCGTGGCGCTCACGGGGCTCTTCTGCTGGAAGGTGGCCCAGCACCGCCAGAAGCAGAGCGACCTCAGCGACACTGACCTCATGCTGAAGGCCTCCATGGTGGGAGACAGCACCTTAGAGGTGGGTGAGCTCCGGGAGGGACCCCGAGGTGTGGGAGGGTGGGGTGGCCTCTGTGCTGACCCCACGGTCGCCCCGGCTGTGCAGGACCTGCTGAACGACGACTGCACCACGGGCAGCGGGTCGGGGCTGCCCTTCCTCGTGCAGAGAACGGTGGCTCGGCAGATCACCCTCGTGGAGTGCGTGGGTAAGGAGCAGGGGGGGCTGCCCTGGTGCCCCAGCCGGTGCCTGGGCGATGCCACCACAACTTCAGGCCCAAGAGGGGGGTTGGACCCCACCAAAACCCCGTAAAGACCCCGAGTTCTCCCACTGCCCTGCTGCTGAGGGAGGGACAGAGAGGTTGGGTGGGTGGATGGATGTTAGCAAGGCCAATGGATGCAGCGCCGCTCCGTCGCTCTTCCACACGGGATCCCGGTGCTCCGTGCTGGGGGTGGGCAGGGCGTGGGGGTCCCAGGGGCTGCGTGGCACAGTGCCGTGGCCGTGGC